TTTTTTTTCTTTTTTTTTCTTTTTTTTTTCTTTTTTTTTCTTTTTTTTCCTTTTTTTTTCTTTTTTTTCTTTTTTTTTCTTTTTTTTTTTTCTTTTTTTTGTTGTGTGTGTGTGGAATATCACTACTAATAGCACTAGTAGTAAAGAGTCTTCATCTCACTTCACAGGACAGGTAGAAAGCATCTATTTATTGAATCATAAGAAAGGGAACTCCTTGAGAAATTTGCCTTTTGTCTATACAAATCATAGCTCTTACACTGTTCAGTTGCAATTTTTAATAATGGAAATGGTATGGAGAAGCCATCAACATCAAATGCAGCTCACAGGAAATGACAGATTCCAAAAGTTTATTTTTCTTTCCCAATCCAACATCAAACACTCGCTTTCATTTTACTTGCTAAAAAGGGGAAAGAAGAAAAAATACATAAAATTAATAAAGTGCATATGAAAACGAACAGAAATGGGTACAGGGGAAAATAATATGCATTTGGATATGTCCAAAAGGTCTCGCCTCTGATAGGCAATCCCTATGACTGCTTTGAGAGTGGACTGATGCTGTCCTAATAAATTGAAACAAGAGTAGATATGCTTTTTAAATGTCATTGTCTAGATTTCACAAAAAGTTAATTGCATATTTTTTATTTAGTTGGTTCATTTAGACCTAGCTTTAAGGAGCACATCTGTTGCCTGGAGCCTTAGGACTAAATACTGTCATGTTAAAAGAGATTTTACATCACATACTTAAATTCTTATATGGATTGGATGACTGTACTGTATGAGGCCCTCAGACAATACTTTCAACAGTCACAATTCAGCAATCCCTGAAAGACTGCGTACACAAATGTAATCTCTGAAATGACCACGAGAGAAGAGTTAGCAAGTTGAATTTAAGATCTAATGGTGGCTTCTCTGAGTACACAACTAGTTCTGCAGATTTTTATTTTTCCATCTTTTTGACTTGTTCATGTAAAGGCCAGCAGCTGGAGCTTATAAGTCTTATGTGTAGCAAGGAGGATAATAATGCTGTTAAGTCCCCAGGAAAAGGGGGATCCCATTAAGGAATCATTACATTCCCATTTATCTCGACCACTGTTAGCCAAAGTTAATCCAACTGTAGCTGAAGCAAAGCTTTCCTTTTAGGTCTAATGAAGTGTTTTGCTTAGTAATTATTGTAAATCCAACCATTTGAAGGCCTAAGTGGCTCTCTGGCCTTTGTTCATGGGGTTAAATTTCACCCACAAAGGAAGAATAAGTTGCTTTGTCCACTTCCTTACTTAAACTTCAGTTATTTTTTTTTCCTCAGTCTTTTACAGAATGTCATATGATATTTTAAATGGCATAAAAACATAAAAGACAAGCATTTCTAAAAGACAAGCATTTGTATATATGTTTTATAATTAATATGTTGCTTTTCTGAAAACCCTAAGGTTAACTGTCCTTGGGGAAACCTTAGAAGATGTAACCCAATGAAGTTGTGTTAAGTGTGTGTGTGTATATATGTATATATATGTAATATGTGTGTGTTTGTATATATGTTTTTTTTAAAGTCTGGTTCTGAAGCCCACATAAAACAGTTTGATCAAACATGTGTCTTGCTCTAGGCTGCTAAAGAATGTGGATTATTTAGCCCGTGGTCTTCTGGTTTATACAGGTAAGACTGCAGAATAACAGGCAGCGTGATGTGGGCATGCCGCATGCACAACGTGAAAATTTCTATGCTGGTGTAGCTGAATCGACTAGAATCATGGAACTGCTCACCACCTCCCGTAATGAAACTAGTGCGACTTGCGCATGGGAGGCTGTCTGAATTTAAACTTTCCCCCTTAATCTTCGTGCTTAGTGTTTTGGCTGATTGCTTTTTAGGAAACACTAGCCACAAGGGCTTAGCTAACGGGCTGATGCAGTTGGGGCTTTTGACTTGAATTTGATGAAGAAATGGCTTTAGTAGTTTAAGGTATTACTTGTACCTGCTGTCCTCTCTCCCTGCAGCACAGGCAGAAGAGAATGTGTGCCTGTGAAGCAGCAACTTCAAGTCAGGACTGGAGATACTAGTAAAGAGGGTCTTGCACGAGGTGAAGCTAACACTGGCATGAGGTAGCTGGGGCTAGGGCATGCTTCTGCTTTGTTCTTTTATGAGAAGTGAGCTGTAGGCAACTGGGGTGACAGTGCTTTAAGCTGCTGCAACAGCACGTTCCCGTGCTTGCCTGTCAGGCCTTATTTTGGCTTACAAACCCTCAGGAGAGTTTGGTTTGGATTCTGGCTGAATCGTAATCTACTGGTTTCTAAATAGCATTTAGATAGACAGGTGCTCCTGAAGTACAAACCTGCAGTGCCCTGCCCTTGGTCTCGATGGGCAGTGTGAACGCAGAGATTGCACACACAACGCACACAGATGAGAAAAGACACAGGGCCCCAATGAAGGAAGCACTCATAAGGACCTGCAGGTAAATGAACAGTTCAGACATTAGCTCAGTGGTATGGGGAGACTGGCAGTTAATTAGTAATTAAAGAGTGGACGAAGGGTCACAGACACCTGAGAGGCTCGACAATAGAAAAACAATGTGTTGTGAATCTAAGAGCTTTCAGAAAGTAACAAATACTAGCAAGGTAAGCTCTGGGAAGAGATTTTTGCAGATCTGCATCAGGCAAAGACCACATAAGTACTCTGTGTGAACATCAGATAAAGAACTAATGAGTTGGGGGGGAACTGAACACGTCTTTTTTTTTTTTTTTTGTGAACTTCAGGGGCATCTCTCTGTATATTTGATAGCAATGATTGGCACAATGTTTACGAACATTATCAAGTGTGCTCTTACTTGTGATATAAATGGGGCCACCATAGCTCCAACACGGCACAATGACCCACTTGTTCCCATACCCAGGGCTCGCATTGTGGTGGGATAAACCTAAAACAGGCCAGAAAGAAATCGGATTAGTGCAGCAACGATCTGTGATATGTGTCCTTTTTTTTTTTTATTATTTTTCTTCGGAGAGACCCATTACATTATCAAGGGCAGCTAGTGAGATAAGATATGAAAAGAAATAAAGGCTCCTTTGAGTCTCTTTTGTGCCATTACAAAATTTCCATTTTTTGCCCCAAGTAAAGTTTTAGGGCAAGTCAATCAAAGCCAGATGCGGTTCCCCTACTGTTTGCTTACCACCACTACCACCACCTTTCTCCCAGCTGTGCTGGGCAGCTCACATCAAAGTCACAGAGGATAGGCTGGGTGCTAAAGGAAGAATTCAATTTATATTGCCAGGCCCTATATCTGGAAAGCAGGAAGAAAGGATATTGGCTGCAGCCTTCAAGACTGCCTATTTATTTGTATCAACAGCACTTTTGTTTAGAAGGAGGAAAAAGAAAAACAGATCCCAATAAGAAACCTCCAGGCTTAGAAGAGTGTGCTCTGTGTATTTTCTTTTTCACATCTCCCAAACACCTGTGCCAAAAAAACACGTAAGCATGTATTTTGCTTAACTTTAATTAAGTCCTGTTAATATCAATAGATTTTAGCAAGTATACTCATGGTAGCCTTTGTTTAAATACTTTGCTGGGCCAAGCCAATGGAGGTAAGGTAATTCAAGAAGAGTCCAAGCATGTGGTCAGAAAGGGGATTTCCAAGTTTGGTTTTGATCATTGATTAAATTGTGAGTAGTATTGGTTTATGATATGGCTGTTGCAGCAACGGTCTTTACATCAGCGGCATCCAATTCAGGACTATTAAAACATTGGTATTTATTCAAACCTGGTGCATGCTTAAACAATATAGCAGGCCAGCACAGGGAGCTACTTCTGTTTGCTTTTTATCAGTTTACTCAATCTGCAAGGCAATACATTTAACTCCACACAATTATTTAAAAAAGAACGACAAAAAACCCTAACTATGCATACTTAACCCACAGAACTCACGGCTCCAAAGTTGTATGAAGGACATGCTCTCTGAAAGATTAAAACTATTTGCAGACAGAACACAGCAATTTCCATTAAGTGAAAAAAATCGTATATATAACCTCATATACTACCTCATACTACTACATCATTCCCTTAAGTGCTGGAAAAGGTTCCTTTCAGTGGTAGCATATTTTCTAACTTTGCAGGGCTTGGGGAGGGGAAAGATTGTGGGGTTTGGAAGATGGTGGTACACAGCATCCTCAAAAATAGCGTTTTGTAGTTGCTGACCAACAGGAGGCTCAGTAGGGCATTCCTCTTCCACCTGCTCTTGTCATCTCCCGCTAGTTTTCCGATTCCTTCTCTGATCTTGCCTATGAAACCAGTGTGGCCAGGAAGCCAGAGCTACTTAGTTCAGGGAAGGTGACTCTAACTAGTCAATGAATATGGCAGCATTCCTGGGTATAGGCCAACGGTCTTTCATGCCCCAGAGCAGCTTAACATATTTTCAGGAGGACCCACCTCTGCTGTGTAAATGTAGATGGTGTTGAAGTTTGCTGAAACCAAGGCACGCAGCATGAAGAGAAACCCAATCATGCCTGTGCTAGAGAGAAAGCCGTGTGGAGCAAAGAGTTAGTATCACTGAACGGTGATCAGCAGAGACGCAACCTAATATATGCACTGTGCACACAGCTTAATACAAGGGAAAGCATAAGGAAATGTTGATTGCTGACAAGTATAACCTTTCTTTAGTCCATTGGCCAGGCATGTTTGACAACAGGCTATTGCACGTTAGGTTTCCCTCAGGCCGGTGTTAGAGGCTGGAGGGAATGACCTGAACAGGACCGTAGTGGCTCAGCTGGTGCCTTCAGCATTACGGTGAAGTCTGACTTCCAGCCTAGCCCTTGCCTTCGGTTCCTGTGTAAAACTGTTGCAAGCAAATGTGATGGCCAGGCTCAGTTTCAGGGAAAACTGAAAAAAACAATAGCAGTACAGAGGCCAATGCCTTACTGAATGACTGTAAGCTTCCTGATGGGGGCTTATTTAGCTTAACGACTGTTTGCAGCCTCCCACTCCAGCTCCCAAGTGTTTCAGCCAGCCTCCAGAGCCAGTGGCCCACGGGTACACTGCTGGCAAGCAGCCATCAGGCTACCAGCCAGTTTAGAGGAAACTTCAGCTTGAAGCCACCCTGATTTTCAGTAACCATTAAGCTCTGCCAGCTTGAGAAGGGTCTTTCTTACACATCCTCACAAATCAACCTGATTGATAACCACAGCACTCGTGGCAGCCTTTCCCTTGATGCCTTGAGCTCCTCTTGAAGTACCTGACTCTACAAGTTAGAGGAGACATGTGTAGCATTGCCAAAAAAGAAAGAAAGGGGGGAGAAAAAAGAGACTGAAAGAAAAATATTACTTCTTTCTGGTGGATGTTCTTCACATCATTTTTAATTTTCCAGACTGCACTAGAAAGCAGCTAGTTGTATGCTTAGGGGAAGCCATGTGGGCTCACTAGTACGAGTGAGTTGCTCTGCACACCCCTGCACCACAGCATCTGCTGCTGCAGCTTTCCCACAAAGTGCAGGGAACCAGTCAGAGGGTTTTTTCAGGTGTACAGAAATTACTGGCCTGACTGGTGACCTGAGAATACCACAGGTACTGCCCTCTGCCTGCAGCATTGCACCCACCCCCCCCCGCAAACAACACCCACATGCTGAGCAAGACTACCTTGAGGTGCAGATATTAAGGAGAAGAAAGAATAGCGCCGTACATCCCATGGTGATACACAGGCTCAGGCGTCTTCCGAGAAAATTGATGCCGAGAATGTTCAAAGGATTTACTGGAGATAAAAATGAAAACTGTAAAAGGTTAGATGACCTAACTGCAATGATTGTCTGACTTGATAGACCTTACGCAGTGTGCCTCAAAAATACTTCTCTGCATCCCCAGTGCCTACCAAATGCTCGACAAAATGCACAAACCCTATAATTCCCTTCCTGTACCCAAACCCTGTAGTTTGCCCTCATGCACCTTTTTTTGTTTGTCCTTCCTCTCAGAGTATGGAGCCTGTCCTCTGCTCTACGGCAGGACACCAGTGCTGGTCCTGAGCCATGAGTAGCACAGGCAAGAAAGGCACCCACTGGGTGAACACCGCTGGCCTGGGTGGTTTTGCTCCCTCTGGCCACGGCCCAGCCAAACACGGGGGCCCAGAGTGTGCCCTGTTGAGTCCCCCCATGAGCCAGGAGCCAGGCAGGCACCTGAGTGCGTCACTGGACTGGTCCCAGCCCGGCTGCACCTGCAGGGTCCAACACCCGGTCGTCTTGTAGCTCAGTTGCTGAGACGTGAACCAGGGAAAACGTTCACCTCCCAGGAGTGTTGCAACACTAGACCCACACAGAGTGCCAGGTTCTTTCAAGGGTGCCGTGTGGCTGCCGTTGGGCTGTCCTGCCATCCCCCAGTGCTCCTCGGCAGGCTGCACCAGGAAGCATTTTGGATTGCTGCGGATTCCCTGGGCGCTTAGCTGTCCTTTACTGTAGTGCTCAGCACAGGACCTGCTCCCGAGGCCACCATCTCTTTGAAAGTAGGGCACTTGTGTGGTGCATTCAGTTGCACCAATGCAACTATTTGCGATCCTTGCTTATTTATGACTTTCCAAAAACTACATGTCTGGGAATTTGGGAAGCCGGGCTTGGTTCTGGTAAGTTAGGAGCAATTTCCCCTGGAATCTAACCAAGGCTGTCAGTACGTACTAACTGCAAGGGAGGTCTTTGGCTCTGCTGTTGGAAGGACCCCATGCTGAAGTTAAATTATGCACCTGAGGAGCAATGCCCTCCCTTGCCCCTTGCCACCAGCTCATGGCCTGTGACCCAGACCTTCATTTGAAGAGCCTGTGCCTGGCACTTGCCAGCAATGCTGAGGACATTTCAAACTCTGGCACGTCACTAAATGCATGCGAAGCTAAAATCTTCGCATTGAGTATTGACTGGCTGTAAAAAGGGAATGGCAGAGCAGGGAGGGGAGGTTACGTGCGATCTCTCCGACTGTGCTGATGATCATGGTCTGGTAGGCAGCTGGCCCGAACAAGTGGCAGTGGCAGGGGCTGCGGCTCTCCTCGGAGTCATCGCCAGGGTCCTGCGCCGTTGGTGCCGCAGAGCCACAGACGAGGTCCCGCTCCAGTAACTCAGCGCTGGCCAAGATGACGCCGTAATAAGCAAAAGCTATGCCAAGCCTGGGGGGGGAAACACTGCAATGAGCAGCAGCAACAATGGGAAAGGTGAGAAAACTGAAATGCAGCAGGTTTTGGGTGCCCTGGGACCCCTGCTGCGCGCACCAGCTCTGCATGATGGACGCCCCCCCCTTAGCCTGAGCCGAACAGTGACTCGAGCACCCACCAGGTTACTGGTCACCCCACCCATGGCACACCATTGCCACCTATGTCCATCCACCTCTCTTCCTCGGAGGCCCCCACCCCAGCTCATAGCTCATCTTTTTGCTTGCCCCTTAGTGCTGCTCCTTGCTCTGCAGCAGGTGACCTGCTGCAGTCATGCTGGGGAGGACGTCCCCCTTCCCTCACGCAGGGCTGTAAGTGGAGACATTTCCAAACCACCCCTTCCCGGGGAACCAGGGAGTCTCAACATCAGGCCCTGATGCTTGCAGCTCACATGAAGCAACTGTCCAGGTTTTTTTTTCAGTCCTTATCCTTTCTGCCCAGGGATTTTTGAAAGGAGTTTTCATTAACTGGCTGGGGAGGCTCACATTGCATTAACTGGCTGGCTGTCAAAAACACAGCATTGGTGATGGCAGCCTGGCTGTGTCATTATCAAGTAATTCAGCATACGCCTAATCATAAGCAGGCCGAGAAGTAATTTTCACTTTTTTATCCCCCCTGGCAGTTTCAGAAACAAGCAGCAGAATCTGGGCTAGGAAACGAGCTGCCTGGAGAGGCGGGGGATGCTCGGGGCATGGGGGGTGGGAATGCAAACCCAAGAATATGCCAGCAACTCCTGGGGGGACTAGGAGAGAAAGGAGGATTAAAAAAAAAACAAAAAGAAAGGTATTTCATAACACTCACACAAGTTGAGGGGAAAAAAACATAAAAAATTCAAGGCCTGACTTAGCAACATTTTGGGTCAATGAGTTCCTACGGACCCGTTATTTATACATTTCCATTCCAGACAGCAAAGTCAATGAAACATATATTACCCTTGCATACAGCTACCAGGAACATTGCATATGAAACCCGTTTCTCTTCAATCTTAATTTTCCCCGGCCAGTGGCACTGGTAACGGTTAATGAGTTTCTGTCGGAGCCCTATTTCACTGATACATTGGCTGGCCTGCAAAGGCAGTGCATTTCTCCTCCTCTCGGGAAGAACAAGTTTACACCAAGAAGGGAAGTGGAGCTGCGGGCACGTTGCTGGTGCCCGCTGCAGGCAGGCGTGGGACCTCTCCTGCGGTTCTCGTCTGGCTCTCGCCCCACCTTCCCTCAGCCGCCCTGTCCTGAGGAAGGACTTACGGTGCCCTGCACCATCCTGGATGCCTTTTTCTGTCTATGTTAACACCGACTGACACAGGGTGTCTGAGGCATGGTCTGAGATCAGGACATGCCTACGGTGACCCGTACCGGCAGAGTTAACGGGAGACTTCTGCTCCCTGCACACGTTCAACTTACGGAATGAGCTGATAAGCAAGAGAAAAAAAAAAAAAAAAATTTTTACCATATGATCCATATCTGTAAAGTGGTTCTGAGGTATTTGGGGTGCATGAGGTCCTTGAATCTTCCTCTCCTTTCCTGCAAATCGTTTGACAGAAATAGAAGTTTTTAAAAAGGCATCCTGTATACAGGGGCGAGTGTTCTGCAGCAGCAGCTGGCACCCCAGGCCCCCCTGCCCTCACCCCAGGCTGCCGATGGCACAACACTGACAGATGCTGCAACACAGCACCCCATCAGCCCTCCAGAGAGGGAAGGCACTCTTCCCAAAGCCTGCCCACAGGAGGACGCGCTGCAAAGGATGGAGCGGAGCAGAAGAGAACACCCTGAGCACTCCCGGCCCCCACAGGACCCCCCAGCTCCTGGCAGTCTGGCCCCAGCATGACCGTCATGGTGCCAGAGGGGGACCTGCTTGCTGCTGGGGGGCCAGCACTGCCGGGGCTGCTGGCAGCTCCTGTTGCCCCACGTGCTGGGGAGAGGAGCCCAGCGTCCGCTGAGCTGCATGTGGAGCAAGTTTGTGGCCACGTGCATCTTGCCGGGAGGGCTGAAATGCCAGTGAGCAGAGAGACAAGCAGGCACTGGGAGCTCTGCCCACCCCGCTGCTCCCCAAGAGCCGGCAGCTGCCCCAGCATCCTACCACTGAGGGGAGATGAGTTCACAGGGATGGTTTGGGTTGCCTTTATTTTTATTTTCCTCATGAGTGGTTAAGCCTGAGAGGGTGCACAACTAACAAAAACTCTTCCCACAGCCAATGTGGGTCCATTACATAAATTCAATTAAACTACAGGGAAGCTTTAATTCTAATTAATTCCAATACAATAGCCCCATCTTGCATAAATTGCTAAGGACAATGCTTGGTGCCTGTGGGATTGAATAAACAGCAAAGGGGTCCAGGAAAGGGACTTAAAAGAGCTGGATAATAATTTTGAGGCCCTGGACAATAGTTTTGTCCAGTCTTACTCTCTTGGGGGGTCAAAGGAGCCACCTGAATAAGTTCTCCCACCCTGCAGTCAGCAGGGGATAAGGGGGAGCAGCTTGGGGGGGCCCTGGCCCCCAGTTCCTCTCCTGCCCTGCCTGCAGCACCCACATGTGCTTTTGGGCATTTCGGTCCAGTAATGATCAACTCCTGAGCTGCTCAGCTGCTTACAGGTGCAAACAGCGGTAGCTCTGAAATGGCCTCTCCTGCTCTGACCCTCTTCTGCTGGTCCGTGGCTCCATACTCAGGGACCTGGGGTGCTGGGACCCAGCGGACAAGCCCAGCCAGGGTCTGGGAGAAGCCTCTGGGAGCGGTGGGTTGACCTCATGGCAGGGACCCTTGCAGCCTGACCGGCCACAGCCCTGAGAGGGGCAGATCCCAGGTCTCCCGGCAGAGGGGACACCGCTGGGGGATGGATGGGCAATAAGGAAGAACGTGCTTTGCTGGGAGCCCTTTTTGTGGTAAAGGAAGCAAATCTCTTCTCAGCACGATATTTTTCCAAGCTAACACAAAGAATGCAAAAAAAAGCAGAAAACTCAATTCCATTTTGAAGGCCAAGATTATTGTCTCTCCAAAATAAAAATGACATCTTCATCATCACATTCAATAGTTGTTTGGAAAGAAACCAGGCGAGGAGGGGGAGAGAGGCAGAGCAAGACGTGCTTGGCGGTCCCACTCCCTCCCCGAACCCCAGATGCTGGCAGCTCTGGCCAGGACAGAGGGGCCAGGCAGTGCCGCGGGCTGGGCTTACCTTGGCGGGCTCCTTCAGCACCCCCTCGGGCATCGCCGCCCCGTTCATCTTGGCTATCCTCTGCAGCGTGGCCAGGGCAGCTGCCATGTTTCCCGTGGACACGTTGTACCGCGCCGACTCCGGGATGAACTGAAAGCGGAGCGGCGTCAGAAAGCCTTTCTGCACCTCTCTGTCCACGCAGCCCTACTCACAGCTTCCCGTCATGTCCATGAGCCCGGCCAGGTTAGCAGGGGACACCGCCTGAGCTGGAGCAGCCTTTTGCCTGAACTCGTCCCCAGCCATGCCCTGGGGCACCCCTGCGTGTCCCAGCTCCCCATACCCCATGTTGGGGGGCTCACCCTGCCCAACAAACCCATTTCTTGATCCAGATCCCAGAGGTCTGCTACTGAGCTGTCTGTGGCAAGCACTCATGAGAGGTGGAAGCCAAAGACACAGGTCTAACAAAAACAACCCTTAATTATTTGAAATTCTAAAACGGGATGAGGCGCATGTCACTTAAGCAAAAGTCTTGGAAGACTCAACAAAGCCATTTAAAAAAAGGAAGACATGGATGAAATTTAGGAACAAACTCATTCATCACTAGCATTTGCAATGTTCACCCACACCTGGTGCTCTTTCCAAAATAAAATACCTTTTTATTAAATGATGGCTCTATTAAATTATAAACAATTACATCTGTATCACTGAAATATGAATTTAAAACTCCTTTTTTAAAGGTGTGTATGCTGACTCTGTCTTTTTTTCTTCCAGACTAAAAACTTTTGCTACCCATTTTTTTCTGGCAAAAATAATCAGGGAAACCAAACGTCAAAGTTATACTAGTGGACGTTCACAGCAACCTTGCATTTGACTGCACAGATAACACCCCAGATGGACTTGTGCATCCATTCAGCTGCAGGAAGGGCTTTCACATCTGCACGGCTTGCACCAGCCACAGCTTAGCACTGCAATGCCCACGAGCACCGTAAGTAGGGATTTTTTACATCACTCCCCACAGTCCAAGGCTGATATTTCTGAAGCATGAGTAAACCTGGGGAAGCTGCTGTTGACCCTGACACCCATTTGCTCTGTGAACACTTTACTGAGGCTTCTTTCCTCAGCCCTAGCAAATGTAAAGACTGAAGAGGGTGCGCTGTGGCCAGCGCTAGACTGAAGATAATACTTGTGATTTTTTGCATAGCCTGCCTAGCCTGTCTTCCTCTTGATGCCTGGCCTATCACCATGGTCCCTGGGTACTGCTGGCAGCCTGGACACTGGAGGCTGTGGTGCTAGAGGGCTACAGCAGGGCAGCAAAGCCAGAGGCTTTGCAAAGCAAAGCAAAGCCAAGCCATCTCCCACAGGGTGATGTCTCCCCAGCAGCTGGTCTGCAGCCCCCCTAGGCCATCAGGACCTTCCCAAGCCCCCCCGGCAAGAGGGCTGGGGTGCTGAAAGGAGGACACAAGGACAGCCCCAGGCTTGCGGGGGGTGGAGGGCGATGCCTCTTGGTGCCTGGGGAGACACCAGGTTGGTGGTGGTGCAGCGGGGAGCGAGGAGAGGAGCTCTTCCTACCTTGAACACCAGGATGAGAAGGATGCCGGGGATGGAGGCGATTCTGATCAGCCACCGCCAGCCGATGGTTGGGTTCACCACCGATGCCAGGCCAATGATTAACAAGGATCCTGCCAACCAAAACACCTTTCCCAGGGAAAAAAATTGGTTAAAACACGAACACATGGCAACAATTTATTTATTTTCTTCCCTTCTGGTCTGGTTCCATGGATAGGTGGGGATCTGTGCTGGGGAGCACTGTGGTTCAAACTGAGCCATCCCACAGCTGTCTGAGAAGCTGAGCTTGGGTTGAAGGAAAGAGGGAAAGAAAGACAAGGATTTCGGGAAGGATGGCTGAAGATAATCTTAATTAGCTCCAGATGAAAACAGATAACTTGCTGTGGCTACCATTGTACTTAAAGCCACTTCTTTTGTCCTTGCAGTCGCTTCTCTGCTAATGCTCATGCCCATGAATTTTCCTCTTGTCTAAATCTCTGCGGGGAAGCAGCAGATTTACAAGCACCAAAGGCAAAAACGGGCCAGATTTCCATTGCTGGAAGTTGGTGGGTCTCCAGTAGACTCAATGCCAAGTTATACCAATGGAGAATCTGGCCCCCTGATCTGCAAGTACATTCCTCCCCGAAGTTCACTTGTTGCCATGAGGAGATGCGTCCCTTTCCAGGGGACCACCCAAGGGAGCTTAGCCAACACAAAACACAAACAAATACATAAAAGCCACAGCAAGTTCATGAGTAATCTGTGGGCAGAAATAACAAATTTCTGGGGAGAAATACAAGATTGTTCTTTTTTATAAACCTTTGTGTTTCTGATGACACTTTGGTAATGAAGCCCTGGGATCAAACAGGCAGTAATGAAAAGCAAATTATCCCTGCCACTAAGACCATATACAAACACTTTTGGTTCCACAGTCAGACGAATTCATGTGCTTGATGAGGCCTCCGCAGATCATTTGCACATGCAGCAAGTGCCCACTACAGAAATCTGGAGTAAGCAACAACCCCAGTCATGCTTGCTGTGGTCTTTGCCCAGCAAGTGGTCACAACCCTCCCAGCACGTCTCAGGCCGAATTTGGGACTATCTATGCTAGCCCTATCCTGCACAAAGCCCCGTGCCGTCCCTGAGCAGGGACAGAGAGAGGCACAGATTAGCACCTCATCTGGGAATCACCTCATTAATCACTTGTTATTAAACAAGTCCAAAGAAAGGAGAGGAAGAGCCCAGGCCCGGAGGGGGCCGATGGTGCCACTAGCCCCAGGGCTTGCCAGAAAGCCCATAGGCACTGGCCCCGTTATAGCAGGCAGCACTGTTATCGGTAGGGCAACTGAAAGACTGCGTGTCAGCCATCACTCAAAATCCCCATGCAACGTTTGGAGCATCCAACTCTTTGAGAAGAAATTGCCTCTCTTCTGCAGGCAGCTGCCCGTGTACATCTTTAATAACGCAGACGCCATGCTCCGGGGCGCAGGCAGCAGCAAGCACTCGCTTGGACCAAGACAAACGCGAGTAGTCTGGGAGAAAGGCTGACGTGCTGGAGACCTGGCTTCCAAACCGCAGCAGGACAAATCTCCTGGGACTCGGAGCTAGAAGAAACAGTAACATGCTCACTCTTACCTGAGATAAGGGCAACATGTATCCTCTGTATTTGGTGGGCAAAAACTCCGTTTTTATGATAAGCCTAGTGAAAAGGGAAAAAAATGCAGAAATACAACAACAATGAGAATTTCTATACTATATCTATATATATCAAGCAGCAGTTCAGCTCAGCTCAGTGCTGGACGTTGCTGCCTGTAAGCAGAGTGCCCATCTCTTTTCTACCACTGAGCACCCAGAGAGGGGGCCCACGCTCAACATGCCTCCCACTTGGGCAGGCACCAGATTACACGCAAGGGAGATGCATGGCATGAATTCTCTCCAGGCCAGGGCTGTAGGATACGGGCAGGTGTTCCTTTGCACCGAGAAACCCACGGGAATGTCCTACGGGGCAACTGAGTTGTCAGCATGGGCACGGAGTACATTTGTAGGAGTGGACAATGTTTAGTGAATAATTTTTTTCATTAAATAAAGAAAACGGTCCATTCCACTTTTTATCAAATGGTTGGATAACCCTGCCAGCTGGCACTGGCAGCTCTCAAGCTTACAGGTGTGAATTGTGCTTCCTTGGCTGAAAAGAGAGAGAGAATGGGAAAGACCCATGTTGGCTCCTTCTATCTCAGCTATTGAAGTGTTTTACAAAATATGCAATTTCCCTTCATCCTCACTAGGCTCATTAGCAACCTCTGTGGCCAGGGAAGGGGGGCATCCCCCAGAGCTTGGCGGGGGGGTGTGCATGGTGCCTTCTCCTCCCAACACCACCTATCTCCCTCACGTCCTTTGCTTCAGCAAAGGGGTCTCAGGTCAGTGTGACCAGCTTTGGGCTTTCCTGCGTGGGCAGCATGGAGGTTCGAGGAACCACAGAAAATTATGAAATGTTGCATTTGTTTCCCTTAGAGAGTTGAAAGAAATAATTTATTTTGCCAAGCTCCTAGTGAAGTGGTTGTTAATATTGTGAATTTCTCCTCTCCCCCTCCACGTCCCCCTTTCCGCCCCAACAAGGCAAAAAGTTTCATTTAAATTGGAATGTTTTACATCAGTTCAAGAAGAATTTGCTACTTAAGCAGAATTGTTCTGACTTTTTTATGAGGAAGCAGCCTTTGCCCATCTGTTACCTGCCTAATTGTTTTTATAATATATGTGCTTAATAATCCCTCTGTCACTGGCTTAACATAAAGCAGCTGCCCCCTCTGTCCCTGGGCTCGGGAGTCCCTGGGAACTGCAATTTAGGTTGATCGACCGGGATTCAGTGAAATTACAGGATGGCACTTTGTTTTAAGGCGATGTGGGAATTTGCTCCCCTTTCCACTTCCAGCCCCCGTGGAGGCCCCTTCCCCGCCATCTCCTCCAGGTTGCACGCGCAGCCACGGCTTATCAGGCTCAGCGCAAGGGAAAGCGGGTGCTCTGCCAGGGTCAGCCAAAATGAGCTGAGGGGCCTTTCTTGCTGTAAACCAGGGAACTCAGCCCCTCCAGGTCCGGGGTGCCTCTGCTAACCTCTCCGTGAGGGCTGGCTTGCTACTGCCCGTGCCACGATGCGCGAGGCACGGCCTTACCCTTGTGCGTGGCCCGACACGCCACCTCCTACCATGGCCCGCAGGAACACGAACCAGATGTAGGATGGGGCAAATGAGGTCAGCAGGGAGAAATAGGCTGCCCAGAGGAACGAGAGCAGCAGAATCTGCAAAAGGGGCAAAATCAGGGTCATCAAACCACGGGCTCAGCCAGGTGCGTGGCTCCCGCGGGGCCTGGGAAAAGGACATGCAGCCCCTGGTGCTCACTCACCTTCCAGCGGCCATACCTGTCGGCCAGGAGCCCGAGCACTATGCTGAAGACCATGTAGCCAAAAAACACCATCTAAGGGGAATTGAAACATAGCTGTGGAGGGCCCACTCCCGGCAGCACCGGGCAGCTCTGCTGGTTGAACTGTGGGTGAGTTGAATGTTTTCCAAGCAGCAGGATGAACTGCAGTGCCCAGAGCTATGAGCGAGGTGGCTTTCAGGGGTTGAGTTCCTCTGTGTAGGCACTCACTGCTTCAACCCTCAAAGCTGAGGGTTGGATGGCAAGATCTTCAAAATAAGAATATGGAAGTGGGGGCTTGGTTTGGCATTACAGCTCTGGGCACAGACGCGTGCTTACATCAGCTGGCTTTCTACAGTTGTGGTACTGCTCTTGTCCCTGGGAGGAGGCCCTAGGAATTTATTCGGTCCACTGGGAAATGTATTTTACAAAGCCCATGGTGGTGCCCTGGACAATGCCCACATAGTGGATGACCTGCATGGGAGGAACAAAAGTCACTCACCGTTGTCACTAAAGCCACCTGCCAATCTTGAAGCTGCCACTCGCATCGGATGAGAGGGGACACAACAGCTATTAGCATGATCTCCATGGCTTCGGCCACCTTCAGGAATGAGGTTGCATGTTAGCAAGAAAGGAAGCCACAAGGAGCCCACAGCGGAAGGTCCCTCAGTCCCACCAAGCCTGCAGCCATGGCAGTCCCACCATGTTAAAACAGCCCTGTGAAGCCATGCTGCCTCGAAGTGGTCTGAGCCCTGTGCCTGATCTGGAAGACATGAGCACTTGGAAACAGGGAGAAGAGGGGGAAAGGTGCACCTAGAAAAAAGGTATCTAGGTACATTGTGTATCTAGGAAGGCTAGAAAGACTCATCCTTTGCAGAGGAGACTCTTACCCAGCTGTGCTAGTAGAAGGTCTTCAACTATCCCTGGAAACCAAGCTGCTTGGTTAGTAACCTGGCTGTGAATCCAGGCATCTAACACAAAGATGACCTCTTAAAACTGTTTTTGATTAAAAACTTCGTTGCTCCATTGGCTGTTTGCCCCAGCAGCTGGCTTCAGTTAAGAAATGAGCCTATTGTTTACAAATAGCTAGAGGTTTTTACACCTCAGCTGCAGTGATTCTCATGGATATATCCCCATCGCACCTTTACACCAGCTTGGCCTCAGGCTTGTGCCCCAGTTCCCAGACCAGATACACCATTAACCCAAGACCCTGGCAGGTAGGAAATTTTTCAGGTAGCCAAGGGTGAGAGGGAGCACAGCCCTCCCGTGCCAGATTGCACAAGGTTTGGGTGCCCTGGGGATGGCATGAAAAATGCCGTCAGGAGGATGAACCTAACCCTCAGGCACTATTGAAGACGTGCCCCATCAGTGCTGCCTGGTGGGACGGTGCTCCAGGGCAGACACCAGGCCAGGATGCTCTGGGCCAGCCTGCTCAGCTTTGCCCTGAAATAGGTCTGATATCAGTTGTGGCCAATATCGATTTTGGCCAAAGATGACAACAGCAGAAATCATGCTTGAGAAGGTATGTAGGAAAAAAATGGGCTGCAATATGTGCCTATGGTGCTTATGGTTGTTATTGCACAGTAATAAGGAAAAATGAGTGTTTTTTCCGGCCAATGCAGATGGCTGCAGACACCTACCCCAGTGCTGCCCATGATCAGGAAGCGCGTAATGTGGAATCTCCCAAACCCAATGGTTTCCACAGCTTCTTCCACCGTAAATGTCTTCTGCCCTGAAGACCAAAGGGAAAGAAAGACAGAGACAAAAAAGACATCAGCAGTCAAATTGTACCTCCTCTGTATGAAATGTAAACATTTTTCATGCTACTGTGGGACTGCACCAGGAAAAAGGCTGGAAACACCTACTGGTTGTGCGTCCACTGACCAGCCCCTGGGCAGGCTGGTGGCCGGGCACGTCAGGGTTTGCTGAAACAGCAGCCAGCAGGGGAGAGGGCAAGCTGGGCATGGGGGAAGGACAGCCTCGCTCCCCTGGGGCTTTTAGAGCCTTGACCAGAGTTACCCCAGGTGCTTCAGAAACCCATGGCTGGGACCGCATCTGGGCAATGGTCTGCTCCCTTCCTCTGCCCAAACCACCGTGGGGCTCAGCCCCTCTGCGCCCCTCAGGCACGGGCCCGCTCCTGGCATGGGCAGTATGAGCTGGGGGCTGCCCCAGCCCTGAGCCCTGCAAGACAAGCACAGCCGGGAGTTTTGTCTCCTAAGCCTTTATTCCTGACTTTCAGCTCCCCCATTTCAAGAGCAAACAAAGCATCTCAAGATCAGGGCTGGGATGACTTTATAAACAGACCTGGCAGAAAGCTTTCAGTATATGTATACTTTCAAGCTCTTGTTTAAGTAAAGTCATGGCTGCATGAATTTTTCTGTCAGGGCATTTATCTCCCAACTAAGTCATCTCAAACCCATCAACATTACCTCTGAAATGGAAAGAACTTACTGCAGGATTTCAAGAGAAAATTCTTTTTTTTTTTTTTTTTGCAAATGCAGAACTTTTCATTTTATGCTTTTCTACAATTTTTTTCAGTATAAAATGCTTTTGAAATAGAATATATTTTTATTTTTTTAAAAAAATTATCCAAAATGAAAGAATCCTTGAATTGCCAATGTAAAAAAATATTTACACAACGCGGAGACCTGAGAACAACCAAGCCAGCCAGCCATAGGTAGCAGCCACCAGCCTGGTAGCTGTGATGGGAGAGGAGCAGTATGAAGCTGATGTTTGTGGCTCCGTGTACAGAGATTTTAGGTAGCTGGAGTGCCAGGACTGGGGACCCTCCCTCTACACTGGCTAAATGAGGACCCAAATTTCTAGTCCTGCCAATACAAACTCACCTTTTGGGGGTTCTTGTCTCTCCGCGTGGATTTCCTCCAAGCCAATAGCATTTTCTGCCTCTTTCGGGGCAGTGGCCATCTCAGCTCCTGCTGGTGTCCACCGTCACTGTTGGGCAAGGCTGGGATTTATCTGTGAAACCTCTGGACATTCACAAAGCCATCTGAGCAATAAGCCAGCAAAACACCATCCCGCGCTGGAGTGGAAACATTCAGATATGCTCAAACATGGGTTTGTTTCAGGCAGCTATTAGGACATGTCTCTTCCTAGAGTGTTTTTTGTGAAAAATACATAGAAACATCATAAGGCAAGTTAGTTGAACTGACAGAGATCAGTCATTGCATTGCACTGGATGTTTTTATGGAAAGCCTCAGGGAAGACTGGAGACCCACTAACACAAGAGAGCGTGTGACGACTTCCCCAGCCCAGAGGCGAGTGAAATGCAGAGGCAGCCAAAAAAGAGCCGAGACATACATGACTGGCAGCAGGTTACCCCTGTTGGAGGCAGAAATTGCCACCCTTTGGGAGCCAGGGTCAAGTGAGAAGTAGAGGTGCTGCACTCTGTAATTGCTCAGCCTTACGAGAGCACGCACTGAGACAGAGCCAGCGGGTAGGAACAGCCATGCCAAGGAGCAGGGTGGCCCAGCCTACACCCCTAACCCTGGCTGCCCCGGGATGGCACGGCCAGCGAGTGGCAAGCACCAAACTCCTCCTCAGCCAGTCTGCACCTTGCCAGCATAGCGCTTCCCGCTGCAAACCTGATCCTCAGCCTCACCCCCCCGCCACGCTAATCCCCATCTTCTCGGGTAAGCAGGAAACACAGCCGTGCATTCTGGATTGCAACAGGGGAGAACTGGCTTCCTCCCTGGGTGTTTCTGGTTTCCAGCACTAGTTCCCTTGGCCTGATCACAGCCGCTTTTCCTGGTCAGAAAAACTCATCTTAATCCCACGGCAGGGATTAAGCACACCACTTGCTTTAACCCACAAGCTTTCCTGCCAAGTGCAGGCTCAGGCACTGGGGTGGGGGGGCTCAACCCATCTTCAATGTGACGACACCCTCTCCTTTGATGACCTCCCTCCAGGGGTGCTGGACTTGGCCAGGCAGCATTCACAGCCAACCAGCAGTGATCAGGGAGGCTGCAGCAGGGTGAGAGCTTGAGAGAATTAATGACCGAGAACATCTAATGGAAAATACAAAATCCCAGCTGAGATAGAGGGCAGCACGAATATGGAAAGCACGGAGTTACAGGCTGGATACCTTAAAAGCATTATACTGAGGTACAGTTATAAGGAGGTCTTTAAGGGCTAATGGCAGAGGAGTCAGTCGGGTCACATACACTGACCTTGCTGTTACAGATCGTTACAGTCAGCATCCAAAAGGATGCATAGGATATTGCTTACCACTGTCTCTCAGCAGTGTCCTTGCAGCAGCGATAGCTGCCAGCAGCACACATTGCCACCAGCTGACCACATTGGCCACCAGCTATTGACCATTTCCGAGTGGAACCGGCTCAAAAGTAACCAAACAAGGTGCCTGGAAGAGCCCATGAGAAGAGGTAAAGCTTTACTGTGTGGCTGAATCATGAAGGGCTTTGCAATAACAAAATCTGTGGGCCTTTTTTTCTATTCCCTTGTGATTAGGGACCTGCAAACACATTCTGCCTTAAGCTGCCGCATCACGTCTGGTTAAACAGCCACTGTCCTCCGAAGCGCGTGGCAGGCACAGCCCATGGCACTGGCAGGCCAGGCTGGGGCATGTCCAGGGTGAGGATCGAGCCCTGGACCCTTGCCCATCCCAATGTGAAAGCCTGATGCTGGGATACGCTGCTAATTTTTGCTGAGAGGCACTGGAGTGTTTCACTGGCACTCACCCTCTCTGGGCTGCTTGCCGCTGTGCTGGAAAGTGCTGCAGCTCTTCCAGAAAAGGAGAGGAAACCCCGATGCCCTGCGTTGCTGTGTGGGACCCCTGGTGAGGCTCAGGTGCTCAAGCAGAAGGGTGCATTGCTGCCTCAGACACCCCACGGTAGCCAAGACACCCCCAGAGGCATCAGGATGGCAGATAGCACCTATGGGAGACCCACACTGCTCTCAAATAGCAGTGGGTGAGCAGGTGGGATACCTGCTGTAGCATCTCAAATAACACGAGAAACCTGTGCAGGCACCTGCATCCCCCCTCTCTCCAGGGTATTGGGGCAGCTGGAGTAAAATTCACTCATCCATGAGCAAACAAGAAGCCACTGTTCAGGTAAGTCCCTGGCACTGTATGCTCTGCTCTAGCATTTATGTCCAAAAGACAGAGATTTAGATGCAACTCTTCAGTAATCCCCCTAACAGTTCCTACTGAACCCATGGTTTGCTCATCGCAAACATTTGCAGCACTGTTAGCCCTGATGGAGTAGCTAGTGTCTGTCACACCTCTTCAGGGAGTTACAGGTTTCCCGCTATTTGTAAATCCCACTGAAAATACTAAATGTCAATCACATGGGTCAAAAGAACAGCAGTGACAAAGCTGCTGCTGGCAGGGAAATTAGCCATCCTCCATCTGAAAGGAGCCAACCAAGAGCGCAATGAAACTGCCCGGCAGCGGGATGCCGTGACCCCACACTGGAGGGCTTGCCAGACAGCAAAGGGCACATGATATGCAATGCTGCTCATGAGACCAGCTGGGAATTTTGTCAGTAAAGTCGGAGAGCTTCTGCACGTGACATACGAACGATCAGATACCCCCACTATTAAGCCAAGGCTTGATTAGGTATTTTTTCTTTTTTTTTTTTTCTGAGTGAAGCTTCCTTACCTCTGCAAGGTCTCAGGCACGGAGGAGCGGACCTTTCCTCTTTTCTGGCTGTTTCTTTCCCTTCTGCTATTTTCTTTTTACAGTGTTGGCAGTACTGTGGGTTTGGGATCCAGCTCACAGGAGTCAGGTTTCCTCCTCGCCGGGCTCGGGCGGGTCCCTCTCCACCCACCTCCACCCCCCAGAAGTAGGTGCCGCAGGCAGGGTGCCCCAGTGCTGGCCTGTGCTGGTCCCATGACACCTACAGGTCCTCCACAGGGGCTGCTCACCACAGGGACGACCCCAGAGAGATGGAGGGAGAGCACTGGGGAGATATCCCTATTACTACACCAGCAAGATTTTAGCTGACAGGTTTCGGGGGCAGGTCCCGCAGCACCGGCGGCCATGGAAAGGGCCTTTGCGAACCCCTGCAAAGCCATGAGCAGTACCTGGGCGCTGCAGTCAACCACCCCCCTCAAGCCAGGCGAAGCCGACTCAGGTGCTATCATCATGAAAAAATTGAGCCTGTTTGTCTGCTTCATCCTTCTAAATTTCCTGACTGAGTACCGAACTGCAGGGAGCATTCATGGCTTAAACTGCTGCAGCGATCCTGACCTTACCATGCAACGAATCTCTGTGTTACAGGTTGGGTTGGCCAGTGAATCCGAGCTACGATAGGTATGTGCTCTTGCCTACGAGGTTGTCAACCAAAAGGTTGACATACTACTCAAGTGTGTTGGTGTTGGCTTTAATTTCTCCCAGTGAAGATGCTGGGATGTTTTTTGTCTCTCTTTTCCATGAAGCTTCCCAAAATCCTTCTCTTTTGAACTATGTACACTGAGCTGCAATAGTTTTATTAAAGCATGTAACTCCCACGCTGAATCTCGTGCTTCCAAGCATCAGGAAGACATTTGCTACCAGCCAACATATGCTATTTCACAGCCTTATTTTTCTCCTAATAATATCTAATATTCAGCTACAGCCGTTATTGGCATCTGCTGAACTAGATGCATGTTCCAGGCTGCCAGATCCATACCATTATGTTTTCATTGCAAAAACTCAGACAGTGCGCATGCAATCACAGGCGGGTGCAGATGTTTTGGCATTCCAGCTTCCCAGCACAGAAGGGAAAAAATGATAAAAATAGCAGTGAATTTCTCAGCCACAGAGATGTGCTTTCAGGCCTAGGTGTTTGGGATTGTACAAAGGGTTGCTATGCCTATTGCTCTTCTTAACCACCTCATGATACTTTAGTTATTTGCCACGGAAATGAAAAGACTGGTCATAGTGAAGCATGAACAGAAATGTCTGCATGTGTGAAAGCTCCAGGAGAAACAAGAGAGCGAGGGCAAGAAAAAAGGTCTCTATGCTGGCCAAGGACACGACAGAGAGCCATCACACAGGTAAACACTGAAGAAAGTGCTGTTCGCTGCAGGAGCCTGAGGCTGAGCTCCAAGAAACTGTTGACTACCTTATGTTTATGAAAGCTTAGTCCAAAAACCAGTTCATCATCATCAGTCCAGAGGACGAGACTGGACGAGAACTCAGTACCTGGCTTTCCTCATCCTCCGTGTTACCAAAGTGGTCTTGGCAGGAGAGCCTGGCCACACAGAGCAATGGCTCTCGTGAGAAGGAATAAAAAATCCAGGAGAGAATGAGTGTGAGCGACTGAAACCCATTTGATTGACTTTGTTATCCCTTTCCCTTCCTACATGGTCGTTCACTGAGTTTTGCTATATTAATTTTCTCCAAATGATATAACCCATGTCACCAGCTCTCAGAAACAGACACCTTCCTAGCAATGGGATGAGCTTTGGATCCAGAGGCACCCATTCCTCCCTAGGCACCGATCGTGAGTCCACCCCGGAGGGGCACACTGAGGTCCTGACTTGGGAGGAGTTCCCAGTCAGGTAATTGGAAGTCATACCTCCTCCAGCAACGAGTAAAGTCCAGATAAGGTGTTGTACCAAGGTGTCCTAGTCTGTAACAGTGATCTCTGCTGGATCTGACCACATCTGGTGGCCACATTCTCAGCATCAGCTAGAAAACACGGTCCCGTTCAGCCCAGCAGCTGTGCTGGGGAACGGGCAGTCACTGTTCTGCTCCAAAATCCCCCTCATCTTCTGCAGGAAAACATTTTAAAAACAAGGCATTCTCTGGAACATTTCTGGTTTTTAAATAAGTCTTAAAAACAACCCAGATGAAAGCCAGGGCTCTCCTCAAAGTGTGTAAGAATAGCCCTGTCTCTCAGCAATTTTTCATCTGAATGCTCCCTGATTATTAGTGGGCTTGGTCTTCAGGTGGAGTGGAG